CCATTTATTTACATTGGTTATATTATTAATTCTGACACTGCCACATCCATTGTACTGCCTGTGAATACTGGCTGCCAGTGAGCTGATGATCATCAAGTGATGATCATAATAAATGCAAGTCTTAGAATAGGCAGAAGAAAAATATGAATGATAATTTCTGGTCATGTTAAATTTACCTTTCATAATTTTATAACACAAAATAGGACAAAACACCTTAAAACTATGCTTTTCTTCAAGTCTTTGGGCCATATTCACTGCATTCCTACCTAAAATGGGATCTCGTTCAATGTTGTCTCACTCCTGCCTTCTATACAGCCACTAGCAGCTAAGTAAGAAGAATGTTCTGACTTGTACATTATGTTCCTCGAACAGCACAGCCTATGAAGGACTATGGAAACTGCAGATTTACCACATTGATCAGAAGCAGGAGAAGCCATTGATTGAAATGGCCCACTGATGTTGCAGAATGACAGTCTAGAAAGACCTTACAGGAGATAGGCATAGCACTCCAAGAAAACCATATGATGCTGGCTGATTTGGAGCTTTGGAGAGATAATTAGGTAAATAAGGTGTTTGAAGAACATGTATAGGTTGGAGAACATGCTATGATTAAATGGGTTTGCTAACCTTCCCTGCCTCAAAAACCACCGCTTAAGCAGACTAGATGTTGAAACAGGCCACATAACCAGACACATTTACCTAGGATTTCCAACTTACATTGGATCAGGGTTAGAAAGTTAAAGAAAAGTAACAAATATCCAGCATTCACTTTTTTATTAGATTTACTTCACCCAGTTAAGGGCTGTGGACTGATGGCTATCACCTTCCAATCAATTTGACTGAGTTGAGTTAGAGGTGAAACAAGAGGATAAAAGTGTTATTTTAGAGGTGTTCCTTCATTTGGAAAACAAGAGTGAAAAATTAATGATTCCTCCCGGAGTAGCATTGCTTCCTCAATTCACTTTTTTCAAAAGTTTCAGCTTTACTTGGAGAACCATTACCTAAATACCTTATTTCCTGTTTGGGTGGTCATTAAACACCCTTAATTATATAGATCTGCAAAGATTCCTAGGTCTGACAAAGTATAAGTTCACATGCTTACTGATTTGTTTTTTAATTAGCTTTATTTTGGCCTCTGGGAATTTCTCTTTCTTAAGAGTTCAAATATACATTTATTAAAGCACATTTGCTTTCTTTTATACATTTATAAAGATTTATACATAACATTGATACTTTATAAATAGCTTTAATTGTCATCATTCATAACTATAAAACTAACAAGTAGTGGGGCACCTGGGTGGCTCAGTCGGTTAAGCGTCCGACTTCAGCTCAGGTCATTATCTCGCAGTTTGTGGGTTTGAGCCCCGCATTGGGTTCTATGCTGGCAGCTCAGAACCTGGGGCCTGTTTCGGATTCTGTGTCTTCCTCTCTCTCTGCCCCTCCCCTGCTCATGCTCTGTCTCTCTCTGTCTCAAAAATAAAAGAACTATATATAAAAAAACCTAACAAGTATTTAAATAAATAAATAATGGGAAGATTTTCAAGTTCTCTAGTCTGCTACCTCTAGATCTGCACACATATTGTTTCTTCTGCCTGGAATGTTCTCCCTTTTCACTTGGCTAAACCAAATAACACACCCTAAAGGAAGCCAACTGTGAACCCTCAAGTTTGAATTAAGTACCTCCACTTCCCACCCTCAATGCACAAACCAGAGATAAGTGTTCCTTGTATGTACCCTCCATTGGACTAGAAGCTCTGTGAGGCCATGCCTTTTTAGTTTACTCCTGGTTTGGTAGAGAATAAACTGTTTGTGAATGAATAAACATCTGTTGACTTTTGTTTGCTTATTTATTTTATTTAAGTATAAATCCTTCTCTATAAGATTGTTGGCCTCTAGCCCTTATGACTTTTGCTTGGTTTGTAGCAATATGGTAAAAGTCCCATTGGGGGTAATGCCACCAACGGCTATCAGTTTATTAATGAAAGTCTGGTAGCTAACTTATTTTTCACAGTAGAAAACAAATATTCTTCCTAAGAAATTATTTTATTCAACTTGTTTTTTCATCTTAAATTTCAGCTCTTATCCAACTGATAATTTCTAAAAACACTATATTGTCCTTCAGTGGAATTACCTTCCCCTTTATTTATAAAAAAAAAATTAGGTCAGGTGGAAAATTATGGAAATCTGTTCTTTCACTCAGTATTTGTCGAGTACCTTCAAAGTACAAGGAAGATGCAGAGATGCTGGTGGGTGAGGAAGGCTGTGTGACTCAAGGTGTTCTTAGGCACAAGAGAATCAAATGTGTTTGAAGGCTCAGGGGATGGAGCTAGAACAGAAAAAAGGAAACAGTTTCAAAAAAGAGGGAATAATGGTAGGACATAATGGTCCCTTCGTCTCTCAAGAAATCTATAACTTATTCTAACAGACTCAGTAGACCACCCTTAGAAATGACTCCTATTGGCTTGCATGCACGAGGTGAGAGAGAACATGAGCGCAGGTGAGCACAGTTGAGCAGAGCAAGCAGTGGTAGCTGAGGCAGTCATTAACCATGTTTTATGCCTTTCTTCCTTGGGTGAGACCAGAGAACCCCTGAATTTCAGAGGGCCGGTTGGTAAAGGGAGAAGCTTATTTCTTACAGGAATATGCTAGATAGACATTCAGGGATATGTCAGATAGAGTCTAAAAACACTCCTGTTGGGTAAGGAGAAACAGTGATATGAAGTGATATATGGCTTTAAAAGTAATTAACGTTGAGGATATTAAGGTTGAAAGCTATTGTGACAGTCTATGTTTATTGCGTCCCCCCTGCTGCCCACCACCGTGTGGCCATGCAATCTTGTCCCTTACATGGCAATTTAGAAAGAAGAATCCTAAAAAGTACCATTGAGATTGCTGTCAGATGATTGAGAAAGTCAACTTTGTTCTTGTATATTTTACACACACACACACACACACACACACACACACACACTGAGGCAAGCCAGAGAGAAATCATGTATACCATTTAATTAATTTGATTTCTTTTGGTTTCAAATAATTATTTTGATCCCATTCATAACTTTTCTGCATGTTTATTTTGAAAAAGTGGTTTGTGAACTGGAAACATAGTTTTTGTTTGTTTGCCAAGGCTGAATATAGCTTAAAATCCCAGAATATTATCTGCAAGTTCAAAGAGTTTCTGTGGATTTAATGTCATGTGCCTTAAAAAGAGAGAACCATATTTTGACACTTGGTTATATCAAACATAGGAATCCCGGTTTGTTGAGAAGGCAGCACAGTTACTAGCAAGAATGTGAGTTCAAGAGAGTTGTCATATAGCTTTCTTTTTCTGCAAAATGGGATGCTGTCTCCTGGATGGAATATCGAGTATCAATCAGAGCTTTCAGATGATCAGTTATTGTTTGGAAGACATCTTGGTGAAATGATCACTGAACAAAGAGCAGTAACAAAGAATTAATTATCTTGATTATTTCCATTTTGTTTTTCTTTAGGTAGTAAAAATCTTTTAAAAAGCTGTTTGGAGGCACGTGGGTGGCTCAGTCTATTAAGCATTCGACTTCAGCTCAGGACATGATCTCACAGCTCATGAGTGAGTTTGAGCCCATGTCAGACTGTGCTGACAGCTCAGAGCCTGGAGCCTGCTTCAGATTCTGTGTCATCCTCTCTCTTCCCCTTCTCAGCTCATGCTGTCTCTCTCTCTCTCTCTCAAAAATAAATTAACAGTAAAATAAAAAAATTTAGGGACTCCTGGGCGGCTCAGTTGGTTAAGTGTCTGACTCTTGATTTCAGCTCAGGTCATGATCTCATGTCCCACGTCGGGCTCTGTATTGTCAGTGTAGAGCCTGCTTGGGATTCTTTCTCTCTGCCCCTCTCCCTGCTCATGTTCTCTCTCTCAAAAATAAATTAACAGTAAAATAAAAAAATTTAGGGACTCCTGGGCGGCTCAGTTGGTTAAGTGTCTGACTCTTGATTTCAGCTCAGGTCATGATCTCATGTCCCACGTCGGGCTCTGTATTGTCAGTGTAGAGCCTGCTTGGGATTCTTTCTCTCTGCCCCTCTCCCTGCTCATGTTCTCTCTCTCAAAAATAAATAAACATTTTTTAAAAATTAAAAAAAAAAAGCAGTTTTATTCATTGTACCCAGTAGGGGAGGCGTACTTCTTTAAATAAAACAGAAACTCTCACGCCCCCTGCTGGTCAGAAAATCTAAACTATTATTTTACATGGGCTTTCATTTTATTTTTGTCTTTAGTTTTATGGATTAGGTATAGCCTAGATATTCTGTCCCACATGAAGAGGGCTTGTCATATTAGCAAAACTAAATAAGGAATCAGATACTCTGAATTAAATTATACTTCTATGCCTCTACATTAGCAGTACTGAAACAGGGTGATATCTGGGTTTTTGTGAAGGTGGGACAATAGCTATTCAGATAAACTACAGGAATGTTAATAGTAAAAACCCAAACACAACCAAACCTGCTGGGTATGGTAAATCTTATCTCTAAAGCTTGCAGATAGCCCATTTGATCCACTAAGCATGGATTTTGGAACTTTTAGAATTAAAATTCAAAGAGAGAACTAAATGGAATAAATACCTGCTTTGAAACTAGACAGGTCAGGCTCAAATCCAGCTCATGCCATTTGTCAAGTATTTAACTCCTAAGCCTTAGCTCCTTGTGCAACAGGAAACCGGTAATAATCACCCTTCAGAGAGCTTTTACCTACTTCAAGTGCAGAAGGTATGGAAAATGTTGCCTTCAAATTGGTAGCAAAGGATGTTAATAAAAAAAAAAAAAAAAGACTATTACTGAGAGGAGTCTTGACTAAGGTGACTAAGGAAAGGACTTGATTAAGCCATATTTTTTCACCTAATATGACCAAAGGCTAGTTAGCCTAAAGTCTCTCAAAGCATTGGGCCCATCCTCCCCGCCTAAAATTCCCCTAATAATCACGCAGTAGTCATACCTACTTATTCATTCTTCTTTTTATTTTTACAAAGCATAGCAAAATGAGTAAACAACTGACAGGTGAAGAGTTTGCACAACAGAAGACCACTCTGACCATCTCTTGATTTTACAGGGATCATAGGTGGGTAAGTGTTCCTTTAAAGTGATTTTGTCATAGAAGAGTCATCTGACGTGGTTCTCACGGTGGGGGAAGAGGAAAGACAAGAAATCAACACTCACAATTATTTAAAATGACTTTAAAGCTAAACATAATATACATAGTAACTCCTTTACCCTAGTACAAAAATAGTGCCAGAAACTATGTATTTGTTCAAATATATTGAAAAAGGTATAAGAATACAAATAGATATTAACAGTGGCTAGTGATGATTCATAAGGTTTATTTTCTTAAACCATAATAGAAATTTATATTTTCAACTATTTACACTGCTTTCAGTGACATTTATTAAGACATGTTTACACAGGCTTTTGAGAAGCATATGGAAGGGCCAAGTGAGGTTTAATACTTTCTTCCTTGCTCCCTGTGGTGGAGCAGAAGGGGTCCAAAACTGTGCAGGATTTAAGAGAACTCTGAGTAAGCTCTACCTGGCTAGCAAATGGAAAAAAAAATCTATATAGTAGAATACATGACATCTTACCTACGGTGTTCTTTAAGCTTTCAACAGGCTAAGTGATCCATCCTTGATAGAAGGCAGGATGTTCACAGACAGATTCTTAGTAAGTTCCAGGTAAAGGTCCTTGGAAAACTGTATACTACATATTTTATAGATGAAAACGAAAGTGATATACTGTACCCTATATTTTCATGTTAAATCGGCAGGATCCGAAGCCGGTAAGTCTCACTTCCTGCAGACTGTGAGCTCCTTGAGGTCACTGCTCTGTCTCCATGGCTGAACACAGTACCTGACATGTCGCAGGGACTCGATAGAAGGCGGACTGTTGCATGTCTAATACTGAGCAGTTAAATTATACCACGTTATTTTAACCACAGTTGTTCACAGGAGGGCAGCGATTACACCTTTTCCTCCTCTCATCTTAAAATCACTCTTGTAAACAAAACAAAGCAAAACAAAACAGCACTGCTTGTGATGACCTAGAAAGTGTTAGGAGTAAAATCTGGTGAAAAACACAGAAAAACTGAAAATCAGACTGGTGTAGGTCTAACATTTGTGCTCTCTGCTGACAGTAAAGGCACTTCCACTGCTAGGCAAGAATACATCTGTGACCAGTTTCCTCCCAGAAGCTAGTCTTTCCAGTATATTGTCATACATACGCTTTCTTATCTCAGCACTCTTCTTGAAGGAAACTATTCTTCCTAATTAAGAGATCAGTGGTGACAACACCATTGTCCAGAGTTTGGACCTTGAGAAAAGGTGCTCAAAATCTCACTGTCACTAGAGGTCCACATGAGAAGCCAAGTAAATGTACTGTCTTGTTTTCAATTTTCAAAACAGGAAATGACATGTGGGATTAGACACCGTGCTCTGTAGCCCAATATCCCACTTCTGACAGTGGTTGCCAGGACCTACTTGGGCTTACACAGTAGCTGCCTTTTGTGACATCCTCCTTAAAGACAAAAGCTTCACCCAAACGTAACTCCTTTAACAGCCCAATGTGTTCAGGCACATAGAGGTCAAGTGACTTATGCAAGTTCACACAGGACTGCGACTGGCAGGGGCCAATCTTGTGAAAAGCAGAAGGCAATTTTATAGAGATGTTTTAACAAATTAGTAAAATAGTGGGGACTTTTAGAGCTGAGAATTCAAATGAAATGATATGTCATTCAATTATAACTATAACAGAACTACTTTAATCCAGAAAAAGAACAACTTCTTGCTAGTTGTGGGTAACAGAAAAATAGAGCAGGGTGAGGGAAGACTATATATATATATATATTTTTTTTTCCAACTTGAGAAGAGAATGGGAAAAAATATTCACATAAGAACTAAAGCTTTGATTTGTGCCCCTGTACCAGATATTAATCTATGTATGGAATTATTTTCCTAAAAAGTAAAAATTATTTGCACCTACTAACTGGTCCTAAATAAGTACTCTTCTCATAAGAACTAAAACTTGCAACAATGGAATAGGCATGGTACTACCCAGCTTCTAACTGCTAAACTAGTAAAGTAAAATAAACCACTGTCTAAAGGTAAACCAAACAATTTCTAATCTATATCTTCTTGCTTGTTAAAATGACACATGTATAAAACCTCCATACATCTCAGTGGCATATATTAGATGGGTCTAAACAAACTACTGAAGTACAGGGTTACAGATTTTAGCATAACTGCTAAATCACAACGTGTATGATAAAAAGGTCATTAAAGACTGCTATTCTTTAAACAATTTTTCTATACTAAGGAATTATGTATGCATGCATGGGGATACTGGCATATAGGTACGTTATTTTAGTAACAGCCTTTGTACTTTATACACCAGTGCCACCAAGAGGCAATTTTATAGATCTCACCTATATGACATCAAATAAAAATCAAGTAACATCCTGAAAAATACAAATATTACAACAATAAGACATATAGCAACAAACAGCTGATAACTTCCTAGACTAGCCTTTACCACTACAAAGTAATGGCAGCATAATTTGTTTTGCCTTTTTTTTTTATCTGAAAGGTAAGAATTAAGTCACATTATAGAAGATACACTCTCAGAATTCTAAAAACTTAATGAATTATGTTGAATTTTAGGCAGTTTAGGGAAAGAACATTCTGCTTGTTTAGTGAAAGGTGTTTGGGAATGCGGCCCCAAGGCCCCAAGAGGTTTGCTATAGTGACTGAAACTCAGAAACTGTTTTGGGAAGGGAGGTGGTTAACAATTCAGAGAAATTCTTCTCTTCCTACTCTCACCGAGTCCAAACGTTTCCACATATTTGGAACAGATTTTCCTTTCTTGAACCAGTTGGTCAATTTGAACCAAATGGGCTCAAATCTAAGACAATGTTAGCATTTTCTAAATGTACTAAAAACTGTGTGAATACCAACAACTATAAGCTCAGGGTCAGCAATTAGCATACATACCTAAACTTCTGTGGTTCTAACAGACTAGTCCTATAAACCCAAATAGGGCAGTTTCTCAGTAGCAAACTCAATACTCTTAAATTTATTCAGGCCTAAGCTTTCTTACCTTACAGTGCTCCCTCAATTTAATTTTTGAGGCCAATATCAAGGATAGCCCTTTGTTGTTTATATAATTAAAACTATTCTCTATATTTCCAAAGAAAAGTAATGGTTCATTTTACCTTTTAGCTGCAGTCATACCTTACCTCAGGTCAGTGTTCCAGTTAGCACTTTTTTCTCAATTTTTTGTTGAGACTTAAAATGTTCACTTAAAAACTATAGGTTGTAAGAAAAACGATAGGGACGTTATTTTAAAAAGGAAATTCAATATTCAAAACACTCACTGACTCATAAGAGTCTTCTAACAGAATGTTTCTCTTCACTGACAGATACGGCCATTTCATTTCTGGATCACACTCCTCCCTCAGTAAAGTCAGTGACCGTGAGGTCAGTGAAATCAGTGTCTTCTCCTAAGGTTTCCCCTGCTTTCCGTCAGATAGGTCAGACTGAAATGGTTTGATGGGTCATCTCTGGATAGATGTATGTGAAATGAAAGAGTTCTCCCTTCCTGCTCTCTAACAAAAAGAGCAAAACAAACAATACCTTTTCTTTACAATACTGTCTTCTAGTACTTTCCATCTGTTTAAGAGTTTTAGTTTTTTTTGTGAAGATAATACATTGTTGACAAATAGTGTCCTTTCCCCTTAAAATCCACCCAGCCAACAACACTTTATCCTTTGAAGGTTTTAAATGTCACAGAATACATTCAATTTTCTCCTAGCCTATTTTTGAGAAAGAAGATTCCAAACATTCTTTACAAGATGGATAATTCGGAAAACACAAAAGCAATTATTTAAAATCCCCAAGCAAAAAACCCCAAAAAACAAAAAACAAAATCCCCAAAACAATGAATAACAAAACAATCTCAGTGCAAGAATTCAACTTGCACTTTGCAGTACACAAAGGATCACAAACAGCGCTTTTATCCATGTGCTAAGAGTGGGTATCATTGATAATCTCAGATCAGTGGCATAAAACAAATATACAGAAAATATGTAATAGTCCCCTAAAAACATTTCATGCTATGTTCTTAAAAGTTGTGCAAAAATAAAAATACAGCAGTGGCAAAGTATACACTAAATCTGTACAGTGTATGGCAAAACTAGACATACTGCAAAATACACCATCTGTAAACTTCAACTCTGCGTGAATAGGCCACTCAGTTCCGCTTGGCCTGGCTGCTTTCCCCATTAATCAGCATTTTCTCCTGCTGTTCTGCAAGAGCCTGCCATTTTTGCCTGTTCTTCCTGCAGCCATCCAGCAAAGGGAAACAGTCCTCAGAAACGTGGGTCAAGGCCTGAAGAAGAAAAAAAAAAAAAAGCAAACAACTAGAAGGCAGCCAGGAAATAAGCCCTCTCCCCAGGCCTTTTTCAAAGAGCCACATCTCACACTCATTTCAGAAGCAGGCCCACTGTTGGGGGTTTTCACAAGCTGTGTGAACAAATATGCAGATCATTTGTAGATGATTCCACAGACAAGGAGTATGTGCTGGAGAGAAACACACATGTTCCAAAATCATGTGACTGAGCTGTGCTAGAGATGGATCTGTGTGGAATCCACTTTGCAGGGTAACAAAACATTTGGCTATTTTTTTTTCTTTTTTTTTAGTACAGATGGCTCTCCTTAAGTGTGATTGTAATTGGGAGCTGCTTCGGTTTTGTGTTTTTCTTTTTCTTTTAATTTTTTTTTTAATGTTTATTCATTATTGAGACAGAGCACAAGTGGGGGAGGGGCAAGAGAGAAAGTAGGGACACAGAATCGGAAGCAGGCTCCAGGCTCTGGGCTGTCAGCACAGCCATGGGGCTTGAGCTCATGAACCTTGAGATACGACCTGAGCCAAAGTCAGATGTCTAACCAACTGAACCAGCCAGGCACCCCGTTTTGTGTTTTCCTATAAAATAGTTTTATATAATGTACTTAAAATGGACTTGTATTCAAGATTATAACAAAGGTTGATTTATAATTCTGCATGGTATTATTATTTACCAACTATAGCACCATACGTATTTAGATACAAGAATGTTCACTGCAGTTTTCTTTGAAATAGAGAAACTCTGAAAATAACGTAAATACTGAACAAAAGGGCTAGGCAGATTATGTTACTCTTTTGCAGGCTTTAAAAATACATTATGATGTATTATGAATTCCAAAAAGCAAATTTGAATGAAAAAATATGAAAATGTCAACGCATATACAATAATATATTAACAGTAGTGTCTGAGTACTGGAATTATAAATCTCTGATTTTTCTACAGTGAGAACATTACTACTTCTATAATAAATAACAGTAAAAGTACATATCAGTATTACATAGAATTTAACAGCAAATTCAAATGAAGTAAATCCTTGCACACACAGGCAATGTAGGATTAAACTGTTACTAAATTGTGAAAATGTCTGGATTAGAAGATTCTAGGGTTTGAGTTTTGACATTCTATGATAACTCTATGATAAATGCTGTTTTCCCAAATAATTAAAACTGAAGACAGTTTCCTACTTAATCTTTTACAAACAAGGATAGCGTCTATTTTCTGTATTTTGGGCATCAACATCTAAACTAGTAAACTGGATGTTTTAGGGAGAATATCTTTACCTAAAAAATAAAAATCCCAAGCCAGTAGGTGCAAGGAAATGGAACCCTGTAATATTCTTCCAGCTACCTCCTTTTCATCGTTAAAAGAAATTTTCCTGACAATATGAAAGCTACACTATATAATGAGAAAAAGCTGGATAATTTTTTCTTTGTTGAGGCCTAAACTTAGAAGAATATGCTGACATAAAGTATACACAATATACCTCCGTAAGGTAGCACTGGCATATAATCCTTTTAAGTGTTCCTACATCCATTTGCTAGTCTAGCACATAGTAGGCACTCAATAGACAGTTACACATCGATGAATTAAAGTTTTTGAGAAAAATCAAATACAAAATGTGTTCCTTGTTCAACGCAAACAGCATGTTCATCAGCCAAAAAAGAAAAAAAAAAAAGGCCTAGTGTTATCGCTTCAATTTACTTGAAGTTTTAATTCATACAGTCTAAGTTTAGCAAGTCTAGTGTTTTTGTATAAATACCTCATATAGTTGCAAGCAGATGGCATCTATGAACCCAACTTGCATACTTGGGATTTTGTTTTTCTTCTCCCTGTTCATTAGATCCTGAAAACACAAACACAGAAACAGACGCACATACACACACACACACACACACACACACACAGATCTGTATTTACTTAAAGAACCACAATGCAAGTTGGCTCCAAAAACATGAATCACCGCGTTAGCTGGTGAAAGCCTGATACCTGCCTATCTGTCTCCTTCCTTTGCCAGACTCCTGCATTCCCTGCCAGCACCATGCTCAGAAAGGCCCTGATCCTCTGCCTTGTTCATCCTGGCTGACTTTCCCACACTACCCTTGGAATTCATCACTACTCTAGAGTCAACCACTGACGTGTATTTGGAGAACACACAGGCTTTGGATTGTCTATTGATGTGGAATCAAACACCCTCCGCTTTGAGGGGGAAGCCACTCAGGCCACAGCCGATTACAATTCAGTTCACACAGAGAGCCTTCTAGTGACGACTATGCAGATGTCATTCTGCTTATTCCCAGGAGGTCATGGCTGGAGCACCAGACAAGCACAGCACCCCCACGGGAAGCAATGAGTCTGTCACAGTACTTGCTTAAAATGAAGAAAATTCCTCATTAGCTGTTACCATTACTCTGCTATTTTACTTTCTAAGAAGATTCTGAGCTTCTGAATGAGCCTACCGTTATATTATAGGACACTGAGTTAATTGTGAAAGACTAATGAGACAGAGGATGTGCCCAGCCGAGACTAAAGAGCAGAGTGGATGAAACTGTACACAGAAGAGGGGGAGGGTCATAACCATGTCCCATTTATACGGGCTCAATAAATGACCATTTGAATTTAAAAAAATGACTATGCTTCCATTTTCAGGAAAAACTCATTCCAAAAGCTAAAAATGATTTGAGAAGGATCTTTTTCTTGTCTGTGAGATCCATACTCTATGTAAACAAGATAGTATCAAAAACCTTTAAAATCTGTGCCCTTCAACACAGCAATTACAGGAATTTATCCTAACAAGATAATGAAAAATGGCACAGAAACAGTTAGCAACATAGATGTTTCTCAAAGTGCCAGTGAACACTGCAAACATCACCCCACAGGTAGTGGGTAGACTATGGCTGCATCAATTTCAGATAATCACTAGAAATAAGAGACATGATATACATTTCATTTGTCAGAATGAAAAGTAGCTTATGATATTTAAATAAAAACAAATTACAAAAAAGTAGCTACAGTATGATGAACCAAAGAGTCTTTTTTGTCTTCTTTTATTTGCTTATGTTTTCTGAGATAAACATGTGTAATTCTTTTAATAAGAAAAATGTTTTAAAAAATAAAATGAAAAGAAATTGTATTCTTTTTAAAAATTTTTTAATGTTTTATTTATTTCTGAGAGAGAGAGACAGCGTGAGCAGGAGAGGGTCAGAGAAAAAGGGAGACACAGAACCTGAATCAGGCTCCAGGCTCTGAGCTAGCTGTCAGCACAGAGCCCGACGCGGGGCTCGAACCCACAAACCATGAGATTGTGACCTGAGCTGAAGTTGGACACTTAACTAACTGAGCCACCCAGGTGCCCCAAGAAGTATTCTTAAGGAAAGATCTCATAGAAGTGTAATAAGTCCACACTAAACAGATGTATTAAAATAATTCCTATTAACAAGGTTTCAGACTTACAGCAGGCTCTATGTTGAGTTCTTTTCTCTCTCTGTCTCCTTGGTCAAAAAATTCAGTTGCTACAAGTTCTGCTATCTGAAATAAATAACTGGTTAAGTTTTGGCAGTTAAAAGCACATAACTCTATAGAATAGAAACTTTGAATAAAGATAATAAAATCTATCAAATCTAGCTTTCAACCACATCAGCAAAATTATAATAAAACAATAATGAGTTAATAGAAATTATATTGTATTTGCTTTAAATATGTATCTAATCACATAGGCAGAAAAAAAGCAACATGTTATTTCAACTTTAGCAATGAGTGGGAAAAAGACAGTGACTGCCCATCTGTATGCATAAACAATGACATTTATTAAGCACCTGTTATAACAGGTGCTGTGAAAAACAGTATCAAATAGCTGCATACATTGTGATTGCTGGGCCTTTTAAATTAATTTTAATCTACAGGTACATCTTTCTATTTAAAAAATTTTTCCTTATAATTTTTGTTATTGTTGTTAAATAAACTGGGTTGTTTATCCTGCAGTTTCCTACTATCTGTATTTTGCTGACTGCATTCTTATGATGTCAATTACTGTTTCTCTGTGCCCCGTATTTCTACACAATGGTAATGAGATCTAGAGGCTTGACTAGACTGAATTTTTGTTTTTTTGACTACTTCATAGGCAGTGCTGTGTACTTCCATTAAGAGCTTTATAATGCTTGGCTGCCTCTCTTTTTGTGATATTAGCAAACATCAATGATCTTTGTCTAGTAGATCCACTACCTTAAGGGCTGCAAAAAGGTGATATTCAAAGCAATCATTCTTTTTTCTTTTATTAGTTGAAGTACGATAAAAAGAAAGTTCCCCACATCAATTATTTAGTTACCCTAAAGTACAATTTGTGTAAGAAAAGCAGGAGATAAAAAAAAAGAAAAGCAGAAATGTTTGATTTTCTCCACTTTAATTACCATAAAAAATAACCTGATTCCCAGGCAACTATCAAAGATGACCAGAGAAGGTTTTATTTTATTATTTTATTATTATTTTCAACTTTTAAATTTAAACATATTTAATGTACTTCAATCCTTACTGAAACTCAGATTATTCCATTTTGGCCAGTGGGAGCCTAGCAAGTTGGCATCTCTGTTCTTTTGAACAATCCTATCAGTCTCTGAAAGCTTTGCTGCTTTCTGATAGAAGATGCTCTAGGCTCATTTTGTACATTTCCTGCTTTAAAACTGCAACGAGACATTTCTTTGTTGGAGCTCTTGTTCCTTTAATGAGGTACTTAGAAACTTCAGTATGGGCACTAACTAGGCTTGCTCATTACTACCAGGTTGATCAGCATTTGTAAACCCTTTTAGAGGACAGAGCTAGGACACAACAGAAGTTCACACATTTCAGTTCAAATCAGGACTACAGTGTTTCTGCATAACGTAATCCACCTTAGATCTTTACCTTTCCACTCACACTGACAGTCCTAGCTCTCAACAATACCAATACAATTTTTTTTATTTGCTTTTATCCCAAATCATCTACAATTGTGATTGAATATCTCTTTAAAATTACCACTAATAAATAACATATTGAAAACAGTTTTAAAGGCTTTTGTTTTTTGGTAATTCCTTTCTGCTTTTAGGGTACTTCCCACTAAGAGATACATGGTCAAATTACTGTTTTAATGTCACTTGGAATGAAACGGTCCCTTTCACTATGGTTTTGCAACTGAAACCAGATTTGTTTCATTTTACTTTTAAGGTTTAATGCTGAGAATTCAACTTTATGATTTTAAACTACAGTTTCTCCCTTCTCTTATAGGGAATCATTAACTTTTTTGTGGTTAATCCCAGGTTTTTTAATTCTAAGCAAATATCTACATATATTCATTTTTACTCTCTTTTTATTTTTGAGAGAGAGAGAGAGAGCGCACCCATGAACGGGGAGATATTTGGGGACAGAGGATCTGAAGCAGGCTCTGTGCTGACAGCAGAGAGCCTGATGTGGGGCTCAAAGTCACTCACTGTGAGATCATGACCTGAGCTGAAGCTAGATACTTAACCTACTGAGCCACCCAGGGACCCCTTTTCCCTCTTCTTAGATAAATGGTAGAGTACCATATACTTTTTCTCTACCTTGCTTTTTTTCCACTTAAAAGTAGAAATCCTTGTAATCACTCCACAGTAGTATACAGATAATCCTCATTTCTTTTTACAGCTGCATAGAACTCACTGTGTAAATGTACTACAAATTATTCAATCAGTAATCTGATGAGTATTTGCTATTATAGTCTTTACTATTACAAATAGCACTAAAATGAATAGCCTTGTACAAATATCTTTTTATATTTTTTCCTGTGTATCTTTGGGATAAGATTCCTAGAAGTAATGATAAATAATGAATATGTATATGTATAAACTTCCCAAGAGTTACAGTATTTTTCATTCCTTGTTTTCCCTCAACTTCCCCAATAGAGTATATCATAAAACCTTTGGACTTTGCCAACTGAGAAACGGTACTGAGAAATGGTATCTCAGGGTTTTTTTTCCTAAATCAAATAGAATTTACATACTGTGAATTGCATAGACCATGAGTTCAATGTATTGACAAACACATATAACCATGTAACAAATACCTCATCCAAAATATAGACTACTTTTATCGTCTTTATGACCCTTCTCAATCAATTCCTGCCTCATCTTTCCTCCCTCTGCTCACAATCACTATTTTATTTCTTTCACTGTAGATTAATTTTGCCTAGGCTAGAACTTCATATAAATGAAATCACAGGACATTCTTTTGTGTCTGGCTTCTTTTGCTCCGTTTAGTGTTTATGAGACACATCCATGTTGCTGCATGTATCAGTGGTTACTTCCTCCTCATTGTTGAGCAGTGCTCCACTGAATAAGGAACGGACTACAATATGTTTAGCTATTCTCCTATTAATAAGATGTTTGGGTTGTTTCTAGTTTTGACTACAGTAGTCCCCCCTTTCCACAGTTTTGCTTTCCCATGGTTTCAGTTACCTGGGGTTAACTGTGGTCCAGAAGCAGATGATCCTTCATCTGATATATATTCGGAAGGTCCTAACGCTACATCACAATGCCTATATCCTTCACCTCACTTCCTCTCACGTTATCATCTCCCATCACCACAAGGAGATGTTCTGAGAAAGAGACCCCGCATTCACATACCTTTTATTACAGTATTGTTATAATTGTTCTATTTTTAGTTATTGTTGTTAATTTCTTACTGTGCCTAGTTTATACATTAACCTTTACCACAGTTATGCTTGTAGAGGAAAAAAAGCATAGTATGTATAAGGACTCAGGTGGTTTCAGGTATCCACTGGGGGTCCTGGAGCATGTCTGCTGTGGATACTACTACTATATTAGGAATAAAGCTGTTATGAGATTCTATACAAGTTTTTTTGTGTGTGTGTCAGTAAAGTTTTAATTTGCAGTTTTTCTTATGAATGGGGTTCTGAGAACCTTTGCATAAAATAAGAGCCATCAACTTTTTGTTCAAATGTTTGGCCCATTTTTCTGTAGGGTTGCTGGCCTTTTCTTTCTCTATTTTTTTTTTTACAGGTTCTTTAATATTAAGGTCATCTACCAAATATAAGTTGCAAATATCTTTACCAGTTTCTCATGGACTTTTGCTTTGCTTATATTTTGCCATGCAAAAGTTTTATTTTTTTTTTATTTTATGTAATCAAACTTATCAGTCTTTTCCATTGTTTCTGCATGTCGAGTCATAGTTTGCAAAGTTTTCTCACTCCTAAGTTATAGAAGACTCCACAAATGTTTTTATTTAGTACTTCCATGGTTTAATTCTCCAGATGGAACTCTATGCTCCATTAGGAAGTTAAGTATGTGGAATAGATCCAATTGTGTCTTTTGCCATTTGGTTATAGAGGATGTAAAAGTCACTCTAACATTATTCAGTAAAGTCTTTTCCCCCAGTTATTTGAAATGCTACCTTTATTATATATTAAATGTTCTACACAGTTCTCAAAGTTCTGTTGTACTCCACTGGCCTGTCACCAATGCCAAACTGTTTTAATTATAGAAGCTTTTTAGTATTGCTTTTTATGTCTGGACCCCAACCTCACTGGTCTACCTGTTAGGATCTGATTAAGAAGAAAGGATAAACGAAAAGACAAATTCTTTCCCTCTTCCATTCCCTTCCCTATTTGGAAATGGGCATATAGTCCCGTGTGTTACAGAGCAGCAGAGTCTGTAAAGACCACCTTTCCAGAGTGCTTATGGCATGTCAGCTTTGGCACATGGACAGTACATTTCTGATCTTGTTTTCTCAGCATGTATGTTTCATGAGGTGAACCTGTCATTGGGCTCCATGACTCGCAGATCTGAGTCCTGACCAACAGCAGACTGTCATTAGTGTCAGGTAGTGCATTCAGGATTCAAAACACAGTCTCAAAAAACAAAACCACAATACATATATCACTGCATGTATAGCCATCCCTTTTCTGAGACGAGGGCCTTTACTGCCTCTGCAAAATGTTATGGCAGTTACTTATTTAGAGAGAAGGATATATTTCTAGCCTTCTAGCCACAGGCCCTGATTACATCCTTCCTGACACCTTATATCAACACTTCCTATATTTAAAAGACTTAGGAAATGTTTAAGTTCTACTCACTAATGCCTACTTAGGTAGGGCTGAGGTATAGCACGGTAGGCTAACCATAAAGAAAAATGATAAGAAAAATAATTTGCTTTTTCTACTTTTGAAGGTTATTAAGAAAATGTGCTAAAAAGCATTCTTAAGTGAGCCAGAAGTAGTACTGGAATTAAAGATTATCAGCAGCTAGGTTTTGCTGTGTTAGTATAGATGCTGTCTTTCTTAATATGTTATAAATATTAGTAAATGCTAATGAATCTTCCAAGAAAGAAAACCTGTTTATGTCCAATTGTCTACTTTTAATACTACTTAAAAATTAGATAAAACATCCCACCAATACTTTATAAGCTACCTTTAAGAATACAGACTTTTGTTACTTTGGCTTTTTAATTACTACTTTTACTGTCAGCAAGCAACATACCCGTTGTTGAATAGGCCAGGGCTTTGTAATTGCAGAGAGATCACAAGCTGTCATCAGCATCGCTCTGTTAAGGGAAAAAGAAGCCCAATACTACTATTTACTTTCTATGTGAATATAAATTCTCAGTAAATAGTTACTGGTAATAAGGTTAAATGAAAGCTTCCTAAGCTATGAAGATGGCAGTTTACAAAGACAGAAGAAACAGAAACAACTTATATGGAAGTGTGGCTGATTCAGTGATAGCGGAGTGTCACTGTTTTGGCTGCCCACTGAACGATTAGAATTTGCCCTAAAAATGCCTCACTGAGCTTCAGATTGGCACGAGGGAAATTATTAACCCCCGGGTAAAAACGTGCCTGCTGTTACTATTTTTTTTCACCTTGGTGTTCCATTCTCAGTGACAGTAAGATGAAAATGCATTGATTACTAATAATTAACCATTAAAGGATAACATCAGATATCCTATTGACATAAGGTCTCTGAGAGCAAGAATTAGAGTGGGTTATCCCAAAGCACTCAACATGTGCAGTGACTTCTATGTAAAAAGCTCTGACTTAAAAACACTATGTGCCAGACGAAAGGAGGGATAGAAGACAGTGCTCTTTAGTCTTCCTGTTGTTCAGAGAAGTAAAAACCATGCTGGACTCTGGAGTTGGTGACAAGGCGCTCTAGAACTCGGTACCACAACTAGTGCATGAAAATGGTTCTGTATTTAGCATGTGTTTTCCCTTGTTGGATCCAGATACCTGTTTGTAATAATTTGTTTGGAGAAACAGACAGAAAAGGCCAGTCACCATCATATAGAAACACTGTGGCAAAGGACGGTAACCCTTGTGCCTGCTGGGAAACCCAACTTAAAAGCATGTTCTCCTTAAAATGGTTTTCTGCTGCTACTCTACCTCTTGCACCAACTCTCTTGGAAAAAGTGAGTGCACCAGAGATATTTTTAATCACTGTTTAAACCCGTTTTCATCAAAGATTTCAATGCTCGCCAATATAAACTGCCTCCCCCAAAGAAGACTATGCTCCTAAATGAGCTTCACTAAAATCGGACACATGAGTTCAAGTGGCGACAATGAGCACTAGAACTATGGGCACTTCTCTGCAAGAGGTTCCTTGGTCAGGATGGAGCAGCGGAAACTGGAGCAGACGTGGGGCCAAGGTTGGATTTCTTTGTTGTTATTGGGAAAAAGTGTTCCCTAATGATGACAGTATGTCTACACTTTTTCTTTTTTTTTTAATATTTTTATTTTTAAGTAATCTCTACACCCAACACGGGGCTTGAACTTACAACCTCGAGGTCAAGAATCTCATGCTCCATCGACTGAGCCAGCCAGGTGCCCCTACCTGTCTCTACGTTTCTAAGGGACCCTTATGAAACACATTTCGAGGCTATGGAATAAGCATGGTTACATAGAACAGAGAGCCAGGCATTTGTGTCCTGTTTTCTTATAATTTGCATCTTCATTTGCATGCTAAGAAGTATCAATCCATTTAAAGAAATGTTGATTTCAGAATTGTAATAGTGCTGAATTCGGTATTCTGTGTCATTCTTTTCTTTCTTTCTTTCTTTTTATTGACCGCTTGTTCTTTTTACGGATCCAGTTCTAGCCATGCCAAATGGCAAACGACAAACGTAGGAATAGTAACAGCAAAGGGATGGTATCTATAGCTAGAATGGAGGGACAAGCTTATAGGTGAGGAAAAGGGAAATCTCAAGGTCCTGATGGTGCTACTCTGCCATCACTTGAGAAGTAAACACTTCACAACCACCTTCTTGCTCCCACCATCTTTGGGGTGCTATTTTCAGCTTTTCCATTCCAAAGAATTGGGGATGTGAGCAGAGGGAACCCTAGATCCTTGTAGTGATATTCCAGCACATTTTAAAGGTCCTTCTAGGACAAAGGAGTGATTTATTCACTTGAATTCGCAAATGCATTTCTTTTCAAATAAATATTCATATTCAGCCCTTCATACAACACTCCGGAGAATTCTGACAGCCTTTCAGATCATCACATTGTAACAAATAATTGCAATAAAGTCTGATCCTTATAAAATTAACTGGAGAGCAAAGCTTCAGCGTTGACAGTAAACCTACTTACAAAAACAACTCTTTTTGATGAGGATCTTCCAAGTTGAATTGATTTTTTCTTATAATTTCAAAAAATTCTCCTCGTCTCCTTCAAAGTAAAAGAAAAACATATGGTAGTTATGATGAGTCCCCAGGCTCTTATTTCTTCAGCTAACAAAGACCCATGGAGTAAATTTTTTGGGAAAAAAAAAATCTCTAACGGTTTTTCCCCATCTTAGAATCCGATACAGAAATCATCATTTAAAAAGCAAAAAATACCTCACTTTCTTCCTTTGTGCCATTTTCTTGGGGTAAAACAATAAAACCGTACTTAATTTTTAACTACGGATCACAATGGTAATTTCAATTCGTAAGCATGATTTTAAGAAAATAAAACAAATTTAAAATTTGATGCCAAGAATGACTTGAGTATGGCATAATCAGATCTATATGGCTTCAGTTCAATTAATTATATCTTATTCTTAGACATTATGGTATAGGGTAAAAAGTATACACTATTATTCACTCAGTATATAGTGAATGCCTCCTGTGTGCCCAACACTGTTAAGCATCTTGGGAAGTTGTAAGACATGAGTTCTTTTCACAAGGTTTAAAATCTAGTCAGAGACACAAAACAAACATAAGAAAAACTTATATAACAAAACTGACTGTATGTGACTTGAGTACCAAAAATGAAAAACAAGTTGCAGAAGGGTCCAGAAGAAAGACCCGTGTGGTCTGGAAAGGCTGGGAAGTCTTTGTGGTTACAGGTATTTTTAAATTCTTGGTAATCTGATCCTCTTTATTCTGTATTCTTTATTCTGTATTCTTTATTCTGTAATCATTTTAAATAAACTGAAGGTTGCTGTATTTTCTCTTATCCTAATTAAAGTGCTCCCAAATCCAATGGCATGACACTTTCGGATGCAGACACTTTTAGGTGCAGTTATTTTTAGATGTACAACAGTAGATACCTGGGGTATGTGTTTTTGTGTATCTATTTGTTTTTACTTCCCATAAGAGTGGTTAAAGCCACACATATGAATCCCTGTGCATAAGGAGAGAGGCCTGGGCTTCAGGGAATCTCCTAAGTGTGACTGCCGGCCTCCTCTCACCCCTACACGTGCAGCAAAGATCTTAGTCTGCGTGTGGGAAACTAATGCCTGCCCAAATGCAGCAAAGTCTTTTCTCGCTTTTAGAGAGGCAGTTTAATTACAGGGAAATGTAGACATGCATGACAAATAGTATTCTAATGCGCACTCTAATTTTTGAGTCAGGAACTTCACTAATTAAAGTTCTATATTAATACTCTTCTTCTGCCAAAATCAAATAAAAAGAAACAAGATTTACGTGTCTGGCAGTTAGCTCCTTTTCCTGCCCACTTAGGCTTAGATGACAGTATAAAACAACTGTAACATGGTCAGAAGCTGGGGGAGTAAAGGAAAGGAGGAAAAGCAAGATGGGCTCTATAACCTTCAGGTTGGACAACCTAGCTTGGAATGACCTTGGCATGGTTATTTACCTTGTACAGAACTTCAAAGGCATAGCAGTAGATAAATATCAGAAATGACTCTGTTTTCTGTAATTTCTAGCATTAAGTCATATGCCAAAGGAGTAGGCTTTTCTGACTTCCTTTAAGAAACTGCAGCATAGTTTGAAAAACAAGATATTTGATTTGCCAGGACATTTGTCTTTATAATCTAAAAACTTCCCAAAATGCATTTGAAAAGTTTGAAACAATGCAAATGCTTCCAAGACCTATTTATCTCAGAATATTTCTTAAAGCTTACTTAATGTACAGTGCTAGGTCTGTAGCTAAAATAGCTTGCTTGATTATTTTCAACGTGGTCTTATATTCTTCAATGGAGAGGCCGCTGAGAATCTGATTGCCCTTTATAAAAAAGAAAACCATCATTAGCACGCCACCTGGAAAAGCTGCTGACAGGAGCAAAATCTGAAGACACAGTGACTTATCTTAAACACATGCCTAGTATTCCAAATTCATGAATACAGAGGACAGCTGCTTACTTAGAGTAAATGCCATGAAATGATGTTTCCCCTCTATGTTCCACCCTCCACCAGCCTGTCATATAAGAAAATATAGCTTCATAATGGTACATCTACCTACACATGCAAGCTTTTCCAAATCTTACACTCCTTAGGTCTCAGTCCAGGCCTAATAACTTTATACCTTTGTCCTTTGGGGGCAGGTTAGTTGGTAACAGCAAGAGAAACTCTGAAAAATCAAAGCCATATTTTTTAACATTTATTTTTACTTATTTTGAGAGGAAGATAGAAAGCAAGGCAGAGGGCAGTAGACTGAGAGAGAAGGAGAGAGAGAATCCCAAGCAGGGTCTGTGCTGTCAGTGCAGAGCCTGAAGTGGTGGCTTGAATCCATGAATCGTGAGATCATGACCTAAACTGAGAACGGGAGTTGGATGCTTAACTGACTGAGCCACACAGGTGCTCCCAAATCAAAGCCATATTAATGGACATCTAGAATGGAGTAATAAAACTTTTAAACATCGATTATTTAAAGAATCATTTCTCTATGGTTTTTGTAATAAATCTAATAACATTTTTGGGTGCACATTTATATAATTTAATGTAATTAATATTGAGAACAGCATGTGTTGTATAGGAACATGCGAATATAGAGGGTGGTACAGGGCATGACCCAAAAGTGTACTTACTGGTCATAAAAAGCAAGCATGGTTGAATCATCTATAAGAACTATTGAAGGGCGCCTGGGTAGCTCAGTTAAGTCTCCCACTCTTGATCTCAGCTCAGATCATGATCTCATGGTTAGTGAGTTCTAGTCCCACATCGGGCTCTCTGCTGTCAGTGAAGAGCCTGCTTCAGATCCATTGTCCCCGTCTCTTTCTGTACCTCCCCCGCTTGCACACACACTCTCTCTCAAAAATAAAAAAATAAACATTAAAAAAAGAAATATTGAAAGGTGGCTAATCCAGGTGCAAATAATGGAAAATTTCTGTTACGTAACCATTTTTTATTTCTTGTCTGTAATTTAAGGCATAGTGGCTCTCAGATCTTGAACTACATAAACCATTCCTAGGGTATTCAGCATATACTCAGAACAACATCTATAAGTTGAGTCGACATGCTTCCTAAATCTCAGGGCCAAGAAAAACCAGAGGTATAGGAATGACATCTGGAGGTAGAGGATTTTTTCTTAAGAAAGAGAAACTGCCAAGTAAGGTAGGCCAGGGCCAAAACACCAACTAGAGAATAATGCAATGCTGAAATTGTGGCATGTATCTAATTAATGAATCTGTAATTACAACCATAAACATTGTGTTAAAATATGAAATCACCTTAGATTCTGGGCCAGAAAGAAAACTATTTAGAAAATAACTGATACTTTCATCTATTTTAAGATAAAACAATTTCAAATGGAAAAGAAAATACCTTTTGGTGTTGTATTTTTATTCTCCCTTCCAAAAACAGAGACTGTAAATTCTTACGTTTTGGTGCTCACAAAGACAGAATATTTATATGGTCTTCTAATTTGAGACCAACCATCTATACAACCAAATTTCTTATAAGTAATAACATATTACTTAGTAAGTTATGTTATTTAATAACATAGTTACCTATGATAGGGATACTGTTAAATATGCTTTAGAAAAAGTTTAGCATATTTCCTTTCTTTAAAACTAAGCAAGATATTAAAATGAAAGCTTTGGATTTGTAAATGAGGCACGTAGATAGCAAATCCCAAGGAAAGTACAGGTGTCTCCACTACAACTGCACACTAAAAATGACGTGGTTTATGGGAAAAAATAGTGCTGGGGCACATTGCACAAAGCCCGGGAAACTTTATAACCAGAGCATAAGCCAAACTGGAAACTGGTGCGTCTGGAGGTAACCCCGTCAGCTCAGGCTGGCCAGTCTGGAGGCCCTCTGAGGACACTCAAGATGCACGAAACAATGGCGTGGAGGCGATGCTTTGTGGGGCCCAGAGACAACGTGGATGGGACTGGATCACTGAGACACTGGGGCTGCTATTAAGGGGGGGCACCGAAGGAAGAGCAACCTCTTAGAAGCCTAAAACAAGTGGTCCAAAGCAAGGGAGCTAATGCCCATTTTCAATATTGTTGAAATAGAGCAGAAGGGGTGCCTGAGCAAAAGCCAAGTGGAGGGATTTTTTTCTTTCTTTTATAAGGTCAAAAATTCACCTCCCATAATTCTTGTACTTTACCCAAGAGAACTTGTGGATGAAAGAATACAACTTGTACACTTATACTAACATCATTCAATTACCAGTCACACATGAACTAACTCCTATTAATCACATACTTTATCAATCTGTATTAAACTGTATGCAGAATTTAAATTTTTTTAATGTTTATTATTTTTCAGAGTGAGAGAGACAGAGCATGAGCAACGGTGGGGAAGAGAGAGAGGCTCAGAATCGGAAGCAGGCTCCAGGCTCTGAGCTGTCGGCACAGAGCCCGACATCGGGCTTGAACCCATGAACTACGAGATTATGACCTGAGCTGAAGTCGGACACTTACCTGAGAGCCATCCAGGCACCTGCTGTATGCAGAATTTATAATGAGGTTACCAAACTGGCTCTATAACTCTTAACCCTTAATCCACACTGAGATGTTTAGGGAGAGGTGAGATTGTGTTCCCCTTCATCTCAAATAAGAGAGAGGGGCATGAAGTCCCTACATATGTCTCCTGCAGTGTAGTGAGAGGGGGAGGGGCCACAGTGATCTCGCGTCTAATTCTTGTCTGGAAAATCTAAAAGGCAAGACACAGGCTTACTAGCCACTCTGACTTGGGCAGCAATGGGGAGGTTACTACTATATGGGATGGCTTGCATTCTCCAAGTTTTAGAGGCATGGGATTGGTTTCAGCCCTGTCCTTTTCAAGATGACCACAAAGAAGGCTAAAAAACCTGAGCAGAAAGGAGCTGAAAGTGAATGATCAGATTTTCAGGAGCTGGGGAAGGAGCCATAATAAGCCAGACAGAAATGATCATTCACGTTAAAGGAACATCTGGTAGGAAAGCCCCACAATGAGGGCACTTGGGAGGCATCATGAACTTCCCCACAAGCAAAGAGCTTGGTTTAAACATCTGCCAGGCACAAGGAGTGAGACACTCTTACTGGTACCAGTTGTGTCGAGAAATTTCTTGCCTCTCTTCTCACCTGTTCTCCCTTCCTACTCTCCAAGTCTGGAGGGTAAGGAAACTACATGGGGGGTTAGGGATGAGGAAGGAGTTAGAAGAAGCACAAGGTAGGGTTGAGAGAAGCCAACCAGGGTGGTAGGGGGAGAACCTGAAACTTTAAACCAAGTCCAAAATCCAGAGTATTACACAGAACTGGACATTTTGGTTTCTAAATTGAGAACTGTATACTCTATTTTGGGACTTAACGTAATTAGAAGGCCTTTACTTATAAAAGAATAACCAGAAAAGTCACAGACCTCCCAAGTTTTCTTCTAGGGCTCAGAGAGGAACTAGCCACACGGGACAAACACAAAAAGATGGCGGTAAAATTGCTTTAAGGTTATATACCATGCATTTTGCTTGTTCCCCACAGTAGTTACAACGTTCACTTTTTTCTTACCATAAAGGTAATACGTGTATATCGTAGATAATGTAAATAGTGAACAAATCAAAATGAGAACATAAAAGAATTAATAACTAGGCAAAGAAAACCTTTGTTAATCTTTTGGCATACATTATTTTAATTTTATTTTCCTTAGCATTTATTTGTCTAGCGTAATATATCATATGTTTTCTTACACTAATAAATATTCATTTAACCAAAGTGTTGAATAGCTTAATTTCTTAACACAGTAGTTTGTTAGTGGTCAGAAGTTTCAGTAAAAAGGGGAATAGGCATGGTGTTGTGAAAGCAAACCTTTGAGAGCTGTATAAACCACTTCATTTGGCCAAAAGAAAAAAAAAGGGGGGGGGGGAGAATTAACTGAGAGCCATAAAATACCAGTTTTGTTTGTTTCCAGTTTGCCATAACCAAAGAGAGGTGAGTAACCAGATATCTTTTATCAGGCAACATTTAGACAGTTTGGGTTGCCCAGGGAAGTGAGGCTGGGAAGATCTCAAATGTTTTGGCTTTGCTTTCCTTACCCAAAAAGGAATAAAGCATGCTCAAGAATTTATGACTCTGGGAATAAGTCCAAAACTTAAAAATAAAACTGAATTTATAAAGCTCTCTTTTAAAATTCCACGACCATAAAGTAGGTACTTACAGGACTATTAAGAATCATCAGGCACTGGTCAAAATGATGATGTTCCATGATTGAATGGCAGTAGAGCTGAGCAAGTGGGTGTTCACTTCTGAAAAACATTTTGTTGCAGAGAGAAAAACAGCTTAAAAATTACTAGTTTCCCCAATGTATCAGTTTATTAATTTCTACTTAATATCAGTTAATGAAAAAAGAGGCTACTTAACAATTTCTCTCCTTTTGCTGAGGAAAAGAGTGAGGTAATCTCTGGGAAATAAATAGTCAAACTGTTTTCCAAATCAGGGTAACCACTGCCAGTTCAAAGTATGAACAATTTCATTGGTTTTAATATTGATAAAACAGTAGAACGAATAAGGACAAAGGACTACTTTCTCTCACCATGAAAAAATATCTCTGGAATGCTTGCACCACTTATATTTTTCAATTTCAAAACTGCAATTAATTTAAAATGTGAAACAAATGTCAATGCTAGCCTTTCCTGTGAAATAAGGCTGAGGGTCAGCATATTCACACGTGCTTGCTTATGTATCTGAGGAGAATGGACTGAGGTGGAATGAATGGGTAGGTGGGATGAAAGGCAAAGAAAAGGGGCAGAGTTGGTGCACACCCCCCTTTGAAGGGAAGAGGGAGGCAGCTGAGTCAGAAAAAGCTCCCCATGTGGGATCCAGGTTATTTCAGTATAGGGTGTTCGGGCAGCTCTTTTAACTTGAACTTGGGGAAAGCAGTGAAGACCATTTGGCTGAGTAAAGGGAATGGAAGGGATATTATACTCAGTTCACTGTATGTAACAGGCAGTCACAAATCAAAGTCTAAAGCATGTCAAGCACAGTCCGCCCCCTCTTATTTCTCATGACCCTTCATATGTGAATATAAAGCACATTTTTCACTAGTTTTTCTTTAAAAGAAAAATAAAAAGTGAGAGTTCCTGAAAGTTTCTGTTCCTAAAATTTATAGGACAGGGGTTTATGAATTGTAAAGCACAATACAAGTGTTGGATAATACAGCTGGCTTATTTCTTTATACCACTATAAGAATCATTAATTGACTTTTCATTTAATTTAAAGATAGAGAAGCTGCCCAAGACTGGAGGAACGTAACACGGCAAGAAAATGAGTGGAGTAAGAGAAGCTTAAGGGAAAACACAAGTAAAACAAGGGAAATAAAGGTAGGAGAATGGGCAGTCTCTTCTATTCCTGTTGTTTAATCTGCCACTGATTACTGCTGACCCCCAAACTGCCACTCTTTGTGTTGTAACCTTTCTCAAGATAACTCCTGCCTGTCTTCTTCGCTCCTCCATGTTTAGTGAGTTGTACCATGGACCAGATCCTGTGCTTCTCACTGGACAAGGGGAAACAATGGATGGGTAAAATAACAGATTAAAAAAAAAGATAAATTTGCTGGAATCAAAACTGGAGATGCATGGAGAATACTGGAAAGCAGTTAGGAGACTACTGGGAAGCTCGTAGTCCTAGTTCTAGTAATGCGGGTACGAGACAGCCTGGACTAGGGTGACAGAATCCCACATAAAGAGAAGTAGAGTTGTCTCATAGCTGTTTAGGAGGTAGGAACTGGCAAAGAATCTTAACGTTGGGACCTAGTGGGGATTCTCCTAGGGAAAAAGTACGAATGCCAAATTTCTGCCTTGTCATTTACTGACACAGGAAAAAAGGGAGAGGATTAGGGACAGGAGATGGAGGGGAAGATGTGTAATTCAATGTTGGATCGATTGATTTTAAAGTGCCTGACGTCCACCAAGTGGATATAGAAGTTTTTATCAGGTCTGGGCTAGAGATGTAGACTTGGAACACAATAACCTGCAGATATCTGGTAATAATCCAAGCCACAGGAGCAGATGAGTCGATGCAGGATAATGGAGGGCCCAGGGTAAACAGAACGATGGCCTCCCTCCTGAATTCTGCCTTGCATTCTATATGCTCTATTTTGGCAACAGCATTTTCTCACCATTCAGACTAGCTATGCTAAGGTCAACTTCAACATGACAATTGCAACCTTCTTCATTCCCTTCACTTAGATAAGGAAAAGCATCTAGAGTATCTGTTATTTTCATTTATGTAAGAAATTAAAGGACAGGGTGCCTGGGGGGCTCCGTTGGTTAAGCATCCAACTTGGGCTCAGGTCATGATCTCACAGTTTGTGAGTTTAAGCCAAGCATCAGGCTCTGCGCTGACAGCTCAGAACCTGGAGCTTGCTTCAGATTCTGTGTCTCCCTCTCTCTCTGCCACGCTCTGTGTCTCTCTGTCTCTCAAAAATAAATAAAGCATTTTAAAAAAAGGAAATTCAAGGACATATGGTATTACTTTAATATCCATTTTGTTCTGCCAGTTGTTAGCTGTTTATAAGTCTATTACCTTGTTAGACTGTAAACCTCTTGAATTTGGCCAGCTTTGTTTCCTCCAGTGATAATAATTGCCATTTATAGAGAGCCTCTAACAGGTCAGGCACTGCGCTAAGTAGTTTATATTTCGTTTTTATTTAATATGGGACATCTCTGTTCACCACATCAGAATCCTAAGCCCCACCTCTGACCCCAGCCACTGATGCAGTGTCTAGTTTCACGCAGGATTTAATAGACTCCCTGCAGGGGCCAATTAGAAGGTACTTTGCTGTGCCCACCTTGTTTGCTCTGCAGCTCTCTGCCCCCTGCTGGTGCCCGCAGGAACTCTCTTGCTGAATTCACGTGTGTTGAGCCTGGGCTATGGAGGAGTTACGGCCCAGAAGGCCCAGGAGGCCATCTTTGACCAGTGGGGAATGGACACCTGTGGATCTCCGCCCCTTCCCTACTTTGTCCCTAGCCATTTACGCACAGTTCTGGATCTCATTTCCTAAGACTTCTCAGAATCACCTGGCAGGACTAAGCATCAGCTGCCTGGATGGGTAGACAGCTGGTAACTCATCCTCCCCCTGGCTTCCCCTTCTTCCTGGTTTCCCAATCCCAGGCCTGCATTCCTGCTCCCTGGGATCACATGCACAAATAAGCTATGTGCACACCAGCGTTTGTCTCAGTCTATGCCTCCAGGGTGACCCAGGCTGAGACCTCTCTACAATTGGCATTTTAGCATTTATTTTTTAGGCAGCCAAGAGTTCAGAGTGAGACTAACTTGTTCAAGGTCAATATAAATGGTGGGGCTGGGATTCAAACACATCCTTTCACCACATCACACTGGCTCATGACCCCGTAGCACTTTGCACACAGCATCCATTTACTGACCTAGTTAGAGGCTGGACCAGAGATGCAATTAGGTGCCTACAACACAAACATGTTTAAAATTTCAGGCGCAGATTACATTTTTAGACAATGCAGACGGGACTGTTTCTCATTAGAAAAACTTCTTGGCTTGTGAGATAGATGAATGCAAATTATGTGTCTTTGCCTTTACTTACATTCTAAAAATACAAATTTATGAATCCATAAAAGGGTGACAAATGCCCCAAGTTTCCTGTTTACAGAAATATTCGTGGACACCCATGTGTTCTCCATTCTAATGCTTTTTACTGTTTCAAACACAAATCTATTTATTGCTTCTTTATATGAGAGCCTGTTAGAAGGGCCCACTTAAACCATGGCTTCCACTGAATTTCATTCCCACTCTGATTCTATTTGTATGGACTGTATGCCCTCCCTGCATTTTCCTCTCGTCCTGTAGTAGTTTGTCCATCTCTTAGAGTGGCGTGGGGATGCCAGTGCCAAGGTCAGAACATTCTAGAAACAGGAAGCCTCTGAAATCAATAGAAAATATAAGTTCTCTGAGAAAAACAATTCTCGCCACCCCAGTAATCCTTTTATAGACTCTTAACAACCATCCTTGATTTTGCTTCTCATGCATATATATTGCTGTGGGCTCCAATCTCTTAACTACTCTTTGTAAACCATGTCAACCCCATTTAATTCTTTACTTGACCACTTCTCTCCAAATCATCATTGTTGTATGATGATACAACCCACAGTCAGGGGTTATTTTATCCTGCATTCTCTGTAATCACATTAGATGCCACAGAGATTCAAGGTGAGGATTCATCTGGCTTTTTGACCCTAGTTTAACCTTCTTGACTCTACAGATAGTCTCCTTTCAGGTCAACAAAAGATACTCCCATACTATTGTTGTTATAGTACCAACAATAGATACTACCTGTGGAGAAGGTTCCACAGCTTCTCGGTGCTACCAGGCACACCATTTTTGCTACTCCCTGATCCATGTCTCACCGTGAGACAAAGCAAGATCTTGCGTTCCTCTATGTCCTTAATAGGATCCCCCTTTGAAAAAGCTAAAACCAGGAGAGCATTTAATATGTCCTGGGTATTGTTCCAAGTACTTCACATTTATTTATACTCTTTAATCCTTGTTAAAAAAAAACAACAACAAAGAAACAAACTACAAGACAGGTACTGTCATTATTCCTACACAGAGAAGGAAATAGAAAGAAAGATGTTAAATGACTCACTTAAGGTCAGACGCTAAGAGGAGGAGCTGGTATATGCTTTTGTACCTAGGCATCTGACTCAAGTTGGCCCTTAACCACCATAAACATCAGAGCCACTGTGGCATGGTCGAAGGACTAACTGAATTCATATATATGAAGTACTAAAAAGAGTTCCCAATGCCACTCGGTAAGGGCTATATTAAGTGTTAACTTCTATTATTATTATTACTAGTGACTTTAGGATACCCTGGATTTGAACTTTTTTCATATCTGGATCTCCAGTCTCTCAAGCCCTCCAAACTTATCAGGGATGATGTCATTTTTGGCTAATACAGGCGCTACTCAGTTGAACATCACAAATTGTGACTCCTGTGCTGTCTTCAGCGCCCTGTTGAGTCCCTCAGTGCCTGCTGACATTCTGTTGCCACCACGCCAGCCGGCCCGTGACAACAGCTCACTCCTGTTCCTCTAAGAGAGCAGAGAAGACCAAGGTACAGAACCAGTTGTCCAGGACAAAGACACATGGTCTGAGTGTGACAACCGGGAAATGCTTTCATTCTGATTTTATGGAACCTTAGTCTTGAAAAACAAAACGTTCCTTTGATCATTTTACCTCCTCTAACTACTCCTCATACTATTTATTATTTTCTCCTCTACCTGCTGTCCTTCTCGTCCCTCCCTCCCTGAGTGCACACACACGTGCATACACACTTCCCAGTTCTCCCACTGTCATCAGTAGTTCCATCCGCGTTCCAGCTTCTGGGACCGGGAGTCATGATTTCCCCCTTCCTTCATGCATATAGCCACCTGTTCAATGTTAAATTGAAAAACATTTATCCTTCCATCTTTTCCTCTCTGCAGCCGGTATGTGATTTTCACCAAATATCCGGCTTGCTGTAACAGCTTACTAGCTGAATTCTGGGGGTCCTATTTATTACCCATTATACCTTGTATCTTACTTTTGGTCTTTCCTTTCTAAACATCTTTATTACCCACTGCAACCGCTCCTTGTTTCTTCGCTACACCGAATAGGCTTAGTTTTATAGCTTTCTCTAAAGGGTCCTACAACTTCTACTTGTTCACTCTCTTCCTTTTCATCCTTGGTCAGTGAGCCTTCTGACTCTGCACAGGCCCAGCCGTCATCACTGTTCAATGAGGATGCCCACCTACCTCATCGTGTTTCTGGTATGTCTTCATCCTCTCTCCTCTCCAAATCCTACCACTCTCAGGGATCCACTCTGTCTCACTTCTTCCAGGAACAGTGGAGATGGGATTGCACTGGTCTTAACCACTCTCCTTCTCTGCTAAACACTTACAGTGCACATTACTAAACAATTTTCTTATATTGATCACCACTGTTTCATGAGGCTATGACAATTCCTTAATAGCAGGGACCACATTTTATACTTTATAACTCTCTTTTTGCCTAGCAAGATGCCAGGCCCCAGTAATTGCCCATTAGCCAGCTGTCTAAAATGTAGGACTCTTTCACTCTATTACTTAATAAAACACCAAACTTGAATCTAATCAAATAAATGCCCTCATACAGTCTTCTTATATGGACTGCAGGCTGGGAGATTTCTCTACATAAGCCGAGGGTCACATTGTGCTTTCTCTAGTAGATGTCTGTATTATTGCCTCTTTTTGAAGTAATCATTTAAAATCTATCTGAAACCACTCCCTCTTTTACCACCCACATGGGAGAAGAAAATACAGCAGTGAACTCTTCCCCCAAATATTTCACTGGCATCATAGCTGTATTCCTCACAGTGGCAGTCTTCCCAATCAAAGAAGGGATCAAAGAACCCAATAATGAATCAAAACATAGTTTGCTCTACATCTTACTCTAAATTAATTTTCTGAAAAGGCGTTCAAGAAGAATGAATGACAGGAGAAGTTTAGCATCTAACTTTGCTACCACATGCGGGCTTTTTCTCTTTTGGATGTATTAGTTTCATTCTGTGCCTTTTATTGTGGTGGTTTTCTTTATGTAGTGTCTGAATACTGAGGTTGGACACTGTACACCTGTTTACAAGTTAGTTCTCTATACGGTAATGTTTATGCTTCTCTGAATCTCCCAAGAGTCCCCTGGTGAAGAAATTCCTCCTTGAGATATCACTCATTTACCACTAAGGAAAGAAAAAAAAAGAAACATTCCTGGAAAATTCTTGATTTTGTCTACTCAAACCACAGAGATGTAGGAAGAAATAAAAATTTCTGAAACTCCTTTAACTTTTTAACTTTTTTTCTTAAAGTTATTATTACTTGGTGGAAATCTGCTTTGTGGTGTGTGTGAAGGCAAGATTCTGCAGTCTATGAATTTTTCCCAGGACTTGCTTTTTTTTTTTTTTTTTGAAGAGAAGATGACGTTTCTCCAGATGTTTTTCTGGGTAATTATTTTTTAAATAAACAAAGGAAAAAATAGCTGAATGGTTTTTTTTCACTCTAAAACAGTGCAACTTAGAGTGACCATACACTAATAATATTACGTTCAGCTTTGAGGTATGGAGGGAACACAGCGCTGCTGGCTTGGAGCCTTAGGCTGTGCTACGTCTGTGCTTAAACACCTTTTCATGTCACTGTTTCCTTTCATAATTACTCCCGTGTCAACGTCAGGCTCAGGAACAGGATCATATGACAAAGTACAGAGGACAAAGGACATGTCATCCAATCTGTTCTCCAAAACATTAGATCTTAGAAAGAGCCAGTCTCTGACACTCAGGCAAGAGCTTGATATCTTTTCCCATCAAAGGTCAGCAGAGGACACAGTTGCTGCATCACTATAATTCTTTCTACATGAAGTTTTCCATTTATTTAGATAAAGAGAATGTGATTAGAGAGCTCTCTGAAATTCCCTCAAGATATCAGACATCTGGAATTTCCTTAAGAGATCTATCCATTAGTTGAATCACTTGCATACTTAGAAAAATGCTAAGTAGTAAGAGATCTTGCCATTAAGATGTAAGCTTTTCAACTAAGTAGCTGCAAGAAAATAAACATGTCACAGGGGCTCAAAAATCTGATGAAGAGTGATGTCACTTCATCATCCCATTTGTTATTGCAAATGTCACTTAAGTACGGCCCGTAAGGGAGCCTGAAGCACTTGTCTCAAGTGTTAGTATCTACTCTCAAAATCAGCCAGAAAGCAGGCTTCTGATGATGCCAGGAGTATCACTAACATCTGCTGCTAAGACCTAACACTTAAATATGCACCACACAGGGGCAGCACCTGGGTGGCTCATGGGGTTAAGCGCCTGACTTCGGCTCAGGTGATGATCTCATAGTTCTTGAGTTTGAGCCCTGCATTGGGTTCTGTGGAGACACCTCTGAACCTGGAGCCTGCGTTAGATTCTGTCTCCCACTCTTTCTGCCCCTCCCCCACTTACTCTCTCTCTCTCTCAAAAATAAACATTTAAAAAAATTTTTTTAATGCACTGCACATTCTACCTCATATCGATATGTGTGTCTCTTAAAACTTACATCAACCCTATGAGAGAGGTTTGCTATCATCTCTATTTTAAAAATCAGAGAAGTAAGTTCCTTTCCTCAAGGTCACACAGGAACTGCATGGCAAAGGTAGGATTTGAATCCAGCCTGACTTCAGGGTCCAAACTTGCTGCACTGCCTCCACTAACACCAAAAGCCTCCTTCCACTGAGTGCTTACCAAGTACTCAGGATCGAGGAAAGCACTTTTCAAATATCTTTTCTAGACCAGGCTAAAATTCCACCTTTTTTGAAGCTCTTAAGCTGGGTACACATACACCAAAGCAAAATTCTTGGTAATTATCTAATGAAATAAGATATATACAAACTTTTTGAGCTTTAGGGCCAGAAATGCTACCAACACAATACTGGACTTACACTATTTTTTTCCATTTCACATGAATACCACCAGAGTATGTTGTGGGACCCAGATCAATAGAAACATGGTACCATCAAATTTTGCTGCGGCTCTTACTTTAAAAAAGACATCCCTACAATTTAAAAGGAACATATTCTTCTTTTGCTGGGGAAGACGTGCCTTACCGCTGTATGTAAGAGTTATTCACACCACGGTGGTCCAAGTCGTGGCTGAGAGCAGCAATCAGCAGGGCGAGCGTCTCTAAGTCAGTCAGCTTGTTCTGTTGACCCAAGACGTCAGAGGAAAGAAAGAGAAAGGCAGTTTGGTTAAGTCATGAGACTACCTCTTTTCACCAATCATGCATTTGTGTTTCCGACTAGCTTTTCATATAAACTTCTTTATGGTCGCAAAGGGCTCATGCTAGAATCCTGGGCTGCAGGTGATCAGCGGTACTTTCCTTCCGAATGGGGTTATTACAAATGTCATTTCTCACCAGAACAAGTTGAAATGCCTCAAACAATCAATAATCTGTCCACCGCTAGTAAATATTACCTTTTAATTGTCTACATGTATGTGGAATAATCAAAATAAACTTTAAATAATTGTTGTCTCTCTGCTTTCTGGTTCCTTGCAGATTCTGCTGCTCTCACTCTCTGCTCTCCATTGTCATATTCCTGAGGAACACAGGCAGTGTGAATCGTAAGCAAAACAATATAAAATAAGAGGCTTGGGAATGAAAATCTGGCTTTAAAACACTGCACAATATATTCTACCACCAAACATAGGTTATTTTTGTAATATCTGCCATTTGTATTATTTATACTACTATTCTCCTTCATCCATAAGAAAATAAGTTGAAATTATCAGCTCCACTCTGCTGGAAATCCTCAACGCTCTACATAATATGTTTACCACATAGATGAAGATCCTGAATTTGTTATTCTTCATAAAAAGCAAGGATAGTTTTCAGTGAGTGGTATAATCCTGATGACCTTTCCATAGCCCCAAAGAAGTTTACCCTATTTCTTACAAATGCTTGCTCTGGCAGGAAAATACTACTATGGTATTTCATATGGCTTTTTGGACAACAATCCCTTCTTTTAGCTCTAGCCAGTTAAAATGTACAACCTAGGGAAGTGGAGACAGAGAATAACATTTTTAGAATTTACTTTAAAAAAAAAAGAGCATGGAAGCTCTGAATTCAAAGCAGTTATATGATGGATGCCTGGAATCACTTACCTAGAATAACTAGTCGATTCCCACTGAAGTTAGAATCTAAGGACAGAGATATAGATAAAATTTGGCCTGGAAAGGAATGAATTACTTGAACGTTTTCTGCATTGATCTTCCTTGTAAACAGTCTCTGGACAATGTATATGATACTAAAACCCTTTCCACGAAATAGTACTTACAAGATTTAACTGAGGGCTCCAGAGAAAATGCAATAGAGAACCCTGGACTTATCTACGACACCACTTGAGTGGCTTTTGAGGAATTCTACTATGGAGCAGTTTGAGTGTGGACATGAGAAATCTGATAATTTTTCTTATACTGTAGAAGTTTCTTCTGGAGAATGAATGTATTTCTTTGCCTGAAGACTATTAAAATTTAATGTGAAGTAATTTTAAAGATTTAAAAAAATATGCCATATAGGTTACATATGAAAGAAAAATAATAACAAATTAATAACAAATAACATGGAAAAATTTTTTTGCTATGCTGGTCTTCTTCAATTAACAACATATAATTTATTTTGTATGTGGCAATAAATATTCCACTCATCATTAGTGCACATTAAAAAAAAAACTTGAAAGAATATGTTGTAAATTTTACCACTAAACCAAGAAAAGGTCTAAAATAGAAAAATGGGTCTCAAAAGTACCTGAATCTTGCCTGCCTTTAGAGCAGCAAACATGCACTGAGCTGTATTAAAGGCGTGTCTCCAATTATGATAGGCAACATTCTTCCTGTAATTCTTCTTAACACTTAAAATCCACCTGCAAAGAACCTTTAGGGAATAAAGCATAAGTAGTAACAATACTTGTTAACATCTATCATATATTTACTATGTTGCAAAGCATTTACATCTAACCCTCATGACTCTGAGGGAGGCACTACTACTTTGATCATTTTACAGGTGAGGAATCGGACTTTCAGAGAGGTAACTTACCCAGGGTCACATTGCTCGTAAAAGGTGGGGCTAAATTTCAGTTTTGAGCAGTCTGACTTCAGAACCCACCATGCTAACTCAATGAGATGTAAAATGCAAGGCAGCTGTAAGGTATTTTTGGCATGGGTAGGGGGAGCACTGACTAGCTTTTTAGAAGATATCATGTCCATGTGCCATTAATTAGGAGAGCCCAAATAGTCAGGTGTGTATTCACTTTTAGAGAGCCATGGAAACAGCCACTCTCAAGTTCTCATGCTCCCAGTTTTTAATTCTGCGAAGGTATTCACAGCAAGGCTGTGGGGGTGGATTGGGGGCTATCATACACAGCACATGTCCAAGGACAAAATGGAGCTCCAAGTCCTGATGCAATCAGCAGGTCTTTTGTCCCTTTTAAACTATGATTAAATATTAAGGCAGAGTTACTGCTTGGTTACCAAGAAATAATTTAAAAATATATAAAACAAAGCCTTGGGGTCCATATGAAAAAATATATTTTAAAAGATGGAAAAAAGAGGCAGACCTCAGAAAATCTCAAAAGCTTGGTTTAATTCAACTTCTAAGTAGTGTATTCAGTGAGATCCCCAGGGACTCATGGGCCCTAAGCATGGTTATTTTTTGTTTGTGTTAGCATCAGAGTCTGCCTCTCTTCAATTCTGAATGATTTACTATACTTTGGGGGATCTGTAAAAATAAATATGTGCTTCTTCCTACGTATATCCCTGGAGATATTTCAAACACAAGAAGCATTGCCCTGGGGTATGGAAAAAGTACCAGGGAAAAGAATGTTGCTTTAACAATATTCAACACAGAATGACTGGCTGCAGAAGTAGGCCAACAACGAGGTTCCTTCATTGTTGGTAGAAATTGCTTATATGGGATTTAGTAGAAAAATCAGTGCTTTCATAACCCTCCTTTTCTTTTCAGGTCTTTCTGTTCCTGTTCTATAACACAGTTTGCAGGGAATTCTCATAACAAGCAACCCTAATGCCCCAGAGCTCTTGAACCTCCAAGTCACCATACTTAGCACAGGACCTCTGTGTGCCTATGACCAACAAGTGTTAGCACCAAGTACATTGCAGTTTCTTTCATCGTGACCATTTCTGAACAAAATCAACTAGAAAGATGATAGTTTCATCTTATTAGCAGAATTTTAAGTAAGAGCTCTAAACATTTTTTTCATATCCTTAGAAACTGTAAAGTGTTATAGAAAATTACTGGTGATTAATTACTCAAGGAAAATAAGCAGGAAAACCCAGAAATTTAACCTATGAACATATCTCTTTACTAATCATAAATCTGTAGATGTAATTAAATATGTACACATATCATATAATGTTAAATAATGAGCAAAAAGGCTTTATGAAATACAATTCTGATGGACTATTCTCTTATGCTTCTAATAAGATGGGCCTTAGAGAACTGGGTAATCCAATGGATACAGTAGTTAGAAACTACATTTAAGTACAGTTTTAGATTCTGCTATCAGGATAATCTTTTAAAAACATTTTATTACTTGAGTATAGTTAGCACACAATGTTATATTAGATTCAGGTGCACAACAAAGTACTTCGCTATTTGTCATGCTATGTTCACAAGTGTAGCTATCATCTGCCACCATACAATGCTATCACAGCATTATTGACTGTATTCCCTATGATGTGCCACTCATTCCTGTGACTTGTTCATCCACAAGTGGAGGCTTGTGGCTCCTACTCTTCTTCACCCATTCCCCCCCCACCCCCAACCCCTTTCCCTTTGGCAACCATCAGTTTGCTCTCTGTATTTATACGTCTATCAGGATATTCTTAACAGCATTTAGGAAAATAACGGTCAGATCTGCTCTGTGATTGATGGATATGCTTAGCATGTTCAAATCTGCAATTCAGTCTTTTGTACAGGACTACTGAATAATTATGTATAATTTGGATAACTCTAGGGAGCATGCTCAATGCACTGAATCAGTCTCCAACAATTACAAAGGCTTCCTAAGTCCTGGGTGGCAGACTCAAGATGCTCTGGGAGAAAAAGAAGAAACAGAAAACAGCTCAGTTTCTGCCTTCTAGAATCTCAATCAGTAATGAAAATACTAAAAATGCACATATAAAGGAAAGAAGTAAAATTGACAATACAAATTTTCAACCATAGTCCAAGTGGGGTGAAGTTACATCTGAGGTTGAGTCAGGCTCTGAGGAAAAGTATGTGGTGGCAGGAAGTGGGGCAGACTTGCAAGTGGAATAGTTCATTCAAGAGAGGAATGACATGTACCAGAATGTGAAAATAAATACATGCAGATTTGTTCAAGTAGAGTCAAGAGTCCATTTCACAGAACAGCAAGAGTGATGGCTGTGATGTTTATAGGAAAGTAACTCAGAATCTGGAAGCCAAGAAGAGACATGAAGACTTGACATATCTTTCAGTAGGAAATATCCTTTGTTGTGATGCTAACATCCTCTCCAGCATCACGTTTTAATTTTGTCATCTAAAATTATGCTGACAATAATATCTAAAATAAACATGACAGAAGAGTCACTAAGGCAGGAAGGTCAATCAGAACGACTGTGCTATTCAAGGTTGATGTTGGCCAGAATCAGAATAGTAGTTATTCAAACAGAAAAGGAGGGTAAGTGAATGAGACATTGAGGAAAAATATCTGCCTAATGGACACAAATTCAAGAAAAGGTAAGAATAAAGATTGCTAAAGAAATTCTGAGTGACTATCTTCAGATGCAACACTCAAATGCTATGTGAAAATGTGTAGGTTTTTAAGAACTAAATAAAACAACTTATAAGAATTTCATACATAGGTAAACAGATCACATTCCTTTGTTCTGGCCAGGCACTTTAAACAGCATCATTGCTAGTTTGAAGTACAGAAATCTGAGAATGGAAAGGGATTTGAAATGCTATCTTGCTTTTTAAGGTCCTGTAATTAGCAAGAAGCAGAACTGAGATTCACATTTAGAACTGGCTCTAAATGAGCTCCTTATTCCATTGATAGAAAACGCTTTTAAAAATGAACCCTATAAACTACAGTAGAGAAATTGGATAGAGTGATACGACCATTGTTGAATTTGGCTGAAGGGAGAACTGAAATGTACTCTACAACTGTGTTAAGCAGCAAAACGTCATCTACACACATACACATGGACACAAACAGACAATCAGATTGATGCGTGTATGTCATTCTCACAAGACTCCCATAGGGAAGTCATACCATTATCCCCAACTAACAGACTGTGAAACCGAGAACTTGAGAGATTAACTGCTTAAGGAAGTAAGAGTGGCTCACTAGGAGGGCTGTAAGTCAAAGTCCATGATCTTTTTACTCTTAACAAGCTATCTGAATTTCTTCATTTGTAGAGACAATAACAACCAGAGAACCTTTCATGAGAGCTTCTTGAAATAATCAAATGACATGATATTAATCAACATGTTCTATTAAGAGTGAAGTATTAATTAGAGTCCACAGACAGTAGTTCTTTGTTTTCATCCAAGAGTAATAGAAACTTTGGCTAAATTTAAGAAAGAATACCCCAAGAATACCAAATGACACTATATTAACGCTAGCTATATTAGCCCTTAGTTTTCATTCCTAACTGTGAGGCTTTTGAGAGCAGGACAGCTCTTTGCTGAAATGAATACTTAGTACAGTGCCGAGTACACTGTTTATGTTAATAAATTTTCATTTTATGAATTAATGGATTGCTAAATAGTAGAGGCCTTCAGGGTATTTAAATTTCCAGACAGGAAATCTGTGTAAGAAGACTAGAAATTCAACTGACAAGGAAAAAAACCCAAAAAAACAAAAAAACAACTTCAAAGGCAAATTACATTTTGTTTTCAAACAATCCTTTCTATTCTCCCTTAGTTTTTGATGCTAATACACATAGCCATTATGAATATTTTCCCTGCTATCTGCAGCTGGTTTTAGAAGATTCTGACTGAACTTTGCTGTTTTCTGAGAGGTGAATAAGGTAATCAACAGGGGTTAAAATCGGTTTTCATCCACATTCCATAGGGGTAACCCCTGTTCGAACCACAAGCTTGGCCTCACATCAAGCGCCTGTACTCCCTTATTTCCAAAGGAGTTCACTCTGCTTTAGTCCTTCCCATCCTGTGTTATCGTAACCTCTGCAATCAGATCAAGTTACTTCCGTTTAAAACTCCTCAGTGACTCACCACCGTTTTTCAGGATAAAGTCCAAATTCCTCTGAACAGCTTACAAGGTTACATATGATTTGCATCTTACCTTCCTCTCCACTTGCTTCCCTCGCCACTCTCACTCCCCCCACCAGGGCCCCACAGCCCCATCCCCAGTCTGTCCTCCTGGCTTTGTACATCCTGCTCCCACTGTTGGGGATGCTATCCCCTGTTCTTCCATCTGGTGCTTGATGCATATTAAAAACCCAATACATGTCTTGTTAGGGTTGATCTTTTTTTTTTTTTTTTCTTTGAAACTCTCAGGGATGCATTAGGTGATAGTATATTAATTGCTGAGACTTAAAAATCTCTATTCATACTAATTCTCTCTTAACACACACACCCACAAACACACACTCACCCACCCAACCCACACCCACACCCACACTTTTCACTTTTCCAAAGGACGTGACTGTATTCTTACCTCATGTTTCATCTGGAAGTTCTGCACAAGGTTGAGGTCAGTGAACATCCGAATTGTGCACAGTGCCGTTTCTAGGTCAGACAGCTCAAAGTCACTGAAACTGAACTCAGTAATTTTAAGCGTCTGAGCAGATGGTACCACAGCAGCCTTAGGTAAAGAGAGAAAAACAAAATGAAATAAAGCTGTTAATTTTATAAAGCAGCAGTGATTCACAAAGTTTTCTCACTTTACTACAGGGAAAAATAGCACATTGTGTTTATTTTTTCTTTTTAATGTATACTCTAGAAATCTTTTGATATAGGAGGTACTTCAGTTTGTTTTGGTTTTTTAAATGAATCACTGGGTGGGGGGTGGGGTAACTCATATAGTTTCAGGAAGGTTAGGTGGAGGAGACAGGGTGACTACCCTGAGGCTCTACCAATAACAGTAAGCAGAACTAAGCACTCCAGTGATCTGGCCCGTTTATACCTCCCTAGTCTTAGTCATTCAACAGATATTTACTGAATAGTTATTCTGGACCTGTCCCAGTACTATGGGCTGGGAATCAAGTGGTGAGCAGGATAAAGATAATGTTCTAAGTATTTAATTCTCAAGACAATCTTACGAAGTTGACGCTCCAGCTCTAGAGGCTAACTGCCTTACCCATGATAGCCAGCTAGTTAAGGAATGGAGCCCAGCTTCGAATCCAGGCAAACTATTCTGTTTTCAGATTTGATACCATCTCTACTCGAGACGAATTCACTCAAGTCTGATCATAAGAGTCACCTAGGGTGCCTATTAAAAAAAAAACTCAGTGATTCTGACTCAAAAGATCTGGAATGGGTCTTCAGAAGCCAGTTTTGTTTTTTGGAGGAGGATCTGTTTTTTAATTAGTATCATGGTTTTGATTTGATAATCATTTAATTGTAGTAAACACCACTGAATTCTTCAAATATACCTGGCTCTTTCTCATCAATGTTTGTTTGTACCTCCTGCTTCCCCTATAAAGTACCTACTCTCTTTAACTGATGGACTGCTTTAAGACACAGCTCCTATCCAAAAAAGGGTTGAATGCCCTAAAGAGCTGACCCCACCTTGGGAATACCTGTTTAATTATAGGAAGTTCACAATAATGTAATTTCCTGTTTATCTGTCTCCTAAGTACACTGGGATCCATAGGCAGGACCGTATCTTTGTACCCATCTTTGTATCCATTGCGACTATTGATGGATACAGCTTTCATATTTGTTAACATGAATATTTATTAAATGAGAGGGAAAAAATTTTACTCCCTTCACTATCTATGAGTCATAAGTTCCAGTTTTAAGGTCCCAAAACCTCCAAAGAGGGGGAAGCCCATTAACCTGAGTTGGAAAACTAGCCAACCTGGCAAGAGCATTCCAGTCTGTTATACTATTTAAAAATTGGGAGATCTTAACAATGATAGCAAAAAAGGATTTCTGGCTTCAGAAAAATCAGGCCACTCCAAGCCTCAATTCTCATGAAAACAACACTGGCCAAGGCAAGCCACCTTGCTCCCTCAGACTGAGCGGAACTGTCAGGCTCCTCTCTTAGATTTCCTATCAGGCCCCCGTGGGCATCAGCACTTGCAGGAACCCCCATTCCTCCACCCCCTGACCATGTACCCAGCCAGCACTCTAACTGCTTTTGCCAGACTGGACTGTGATTTACCTGATGAAAAGAGGCTTTAACTTGGTGCCAGGCAGAAAGGAGACAAATTAGGAAATGTGAACCTGGTTTCTTCCCCTTAACATCTTTTCCTTGACTCTCTCCAACCCCCTGACTTTTCCTATGAGTATCTAGGATATCACTACTCTGCTTTACCTCCATCTTTTGGGAAGTAAAAAAGTCAAAATAGTAAAATCTCATGGAGCAGTCCACAGCTTTCCCCTACCAATCTTGGGGTGCTAGCCCCTGGTTCTATGTATACCAGACATATTTAAACTTAATTAATATCCCGCTCTTCATATTCCAGACCAAGAATCTTTTCCCAAGCCCAAACTTCACGAGAAAATATGTATTCTGTTAAGTCAATTCCACAGGCTACTGCGTGGGCTGAAACAGGGGAAGAGAGGAGGATTTAAATGTTTGGATAAAGGGCTTCATTGTTTACCCCAGCCTTCGACATCAGAGATTGGAACAGTCAACTGGAGTGCAGCTCCGAAGTGTGGAGGTGGGAATAAGCCCACCTTTTAACTCGAAGCAGATTGCAGCTGCTTCCCCGAAACATACTGCACTCAACAAGAGAACAGATGTTTTTTCCTTAGGGCGCCGTTATCCTTATAGAAGAAGTTTTCTTTCTCTCCTTCCACAAAGGATATTCTAAAAGCTACTGGACACAGGCAGCCAACACAGCTTGTTTCTCTCCCCTTTTACACTCTAATTCCCAGCCCCTCTACTGAGAGAAAAGAATCTTTTGCTTTTTCCATCACACCACACCACGACTCAAACTTTCAGAGCTGACCCAGGGGGGATGGGTAAACATTTTCCTTCGGAACCTGGTGGTCAGTGATACAGAGGTTCAGAATTCTCAAACTGATTGCTAACAGGCCATAAGAAAGTTAGATGTCATTTACGGACCTTGTAAACTGCTTCTTTGACCATCACAAGACAATTCAACTTTCTGTTTTTCTTGAACAGGTTTGGGACAAAGGTGACTTTAGATAAAATATATTGCCTATAAGTCTTACTTACCATTTTATAAAACAAAATATTCTACAGTTTTCTAATAGTAGAGAATAAGGTTTGTGGTATTTCTGGAATAGGCTATGTACATATAATTCTGGATTTTCACAACTGCTTCTTTTAGTGACAGTTTATTTTGTTAGACTTTGCAAAGTGACTTCAGGGGGTGATATAACTTATTGCATTGTGGTATTGAAGACTAGCAGAAATAACTATTTTTAAAGATTTTATAAAGCACATTGTATCAATGTGTATGTGCTTTCTGGCTGAATAATCCAATTTGACTATCATACTGTCTAATCCCACCAAATACCACGTATGCCTCCGCAGGGGACCATGATGCCTGTGACTCCCCAGGCAACAGTGTTTAGATATTTTATTGCTTAATTCAAATATAGGTAAGCTCTTCTAGAGTTGGGAGTTTAACTTGTGTCAAAATAACCAAATATGGAATGCAAAATACACGAAGCTCGACGGGTTAAAGATTCAATCTGGTAAAAAGGTCAATAGTGTAATCTCATTTTTCTTCTGAGTTCTGTAATTGGATCTGCCACTCAAACTAATGAAGAAACTAGGTTAGCTTTCATGACATTTTAGAGGAGATTCTTCACTTAAGTCAATTGTTACGACCCCCTGTTTTTTATGGCCCTCTTTCTACAGCTCTGGCTCCTTTTCACCATTTTTGCAATTATTTAAAAAAAAAAACACAACCAACTCTGGCAGTGAAATTTGCTAAGGGTGGAACTAAATATATCCTTGAGAGTAGGGCAGGATTGGGTTAAAAGAGTTCTAGTGGTCAAAATTTTATAATATTTTAATTTCTCTGTATTGTTGCTCAAAACCAGTTGTTCTGAACACCATCTTGACGGATAAGGAGCTAAATATTAAATTGATCACCAGCTAACAAAACCCTAGATTAGCCATCACATTTGCATTTCAGCATTAGATAATGACCATAAAAAGACCAACTTTATAGTAAAGTGAAGTACTTGGTAAAAAGGTCTGTTTGCTATTAAGGATTCTAGTCCCAATGTTCAGTGTACTTTATCACCCTCAACAAGATGTTCAGCCACTCTGTCTATATTCTCACCTGTAAAATGAAGGAGGGGGGCTGGGTTACAATGTCTCTAAGGTTTAATATTCTGAATTTATGGTATATTTTTCTCTCTGGCCACAGGGCTCCAGGACCTCTTATTGTCTTCTCTTTTGGAACCAGATGCCACCTTACAGGTGAATCTTGCCAGTGACCTTCCTGTACCAGGCTCAATCTCTGTCTCTGACCCTCTCATCATTTAAGGTCAATGAATGGATGCACCGTAGCTGTTGTGGCTATGTTGTGGTTTTCATGCTCGATTCCACATTTGTGACACATGAGAGAAGGGACTCTTCCACAGCTCCTGGCTAAACAGAGGACCACACCTCCGCATGAGTGTAGAGGAGGATGAGACTGGGTATGCAGCAGCCTCTCTACTTACTGGGATAATGTTCTAAATGAAAATCTGAGTTTCCTGAAATCACCATTTGTTTCTTCAGGGGGAGGGGATGAGGTCTATACTTTTGCCATTTGTTTTTAAGGTTAATCAGTACTCTTTTTCCTCTGCCTAGAATGTATCTCCCAAGTTTTCATATAGCTAGTTCTTTTCTCATCCTTCCCAGCTACACCAGGGACACACTCACTGGTATATCCCCTATAGCAAAACTCCATTAGCATCGATTTCAACTTTCTGCTGGGGTGAGCTTTCATTTTCTGAAGAGCTTAGAAAACTAAAAAATATACTTTCCTGACTCCTTTGTGGCTAGAGTTGCAGCTTAATTTTGGTTTCTTCAGCGAACTACAGGCATACTTTGTTTTACTGCGCTTTGCAGAGTGTTCATTTGTTATTTTAAACAATTGAAGATTTATGGCAACCCTGCTTTGAGAAACCTATCAGCACCATTTTTCCTACAGCATCTGCTCTCTTCATGTCTCTGTGTCCCAGTTTTGTAATTTTCATGCACTTTCCAATTTTTCCATTATTATTCTATTTGTTATAATGATCTGTGATAAGTGATCTTTGATGTTACTGCTGTGATGGTCTTGGGGAGCCACAAACTGTGCTCAGAGAGGACGGTAAACTTAATCAGTACATGCAGTATGTGTTCTGACTGCTTCACCAGCCAGCTGTTCCCCTACCTCTCTCCCTCTCCTCAGGCCTCCCTATTCCCCAAGACACAACAATATTGAAATTAGGTGAATTAATCACCTTGCAGTGCCCTCTAAGTGTTCAAGTGAAAGGATGAGCTACACATCTCTCACTTGAAATCAAAAGGTAGAAATGATTAAGCTTAGTGAGCAAGGTATGTCAAAAGCCAAGGGAGGCCAAAAGCTAGGCCTCATGCTCCAGTTAGCCAAGTTATGAATGAACAGGAAATGTTCTTCAAGGAAATTAAAAGTGCTACTCCTGTGTACACACAAATGATAA